TGATTTGGTAAGCAACCCTATCTTTGGATGTAAACGGGATGGACGTGGGTCATCGTATAACCATGATTAGCAATGTTGCAAAGTATCTTAGCATTTTGAGGGACTAAGATCATTTTTGTAAGGCAACTTTGAATAGCGTCATCGAGGGACTATGATCTTATTTTTTGTTTGTTTTGCTAAGATACCCTACATGCGTAACATGACCATTTTGTTCAAGGAAACCAAGTGGAGTAACCCTAGGGGTGTTTGTGTGCAAGTGTGTCATTTTCATGCTTGATTTTGTTTTGGATTAGGGTTTTTCTATTCGATTGATTTTATTTTGCCATGCAAACCCTAATTACTAGCATATTATATAAAAGCGATAAATTGCGAAATTTAAAGATTACTAAGCTATTACAACACTTTATGGGATGGGGGTATACAATTTATGAATGAGGATTGCAATAATATAAACCTAATTAATCTATTACAACCAAATTGAATTTGTACAAATATTAGAATAAATAATGTATAAGATAAATTAAATATGCAAAGATGTATAAATGCAAAGAAGATTTTGTTTGATTTTTTCACATGGAAAAAGCTTTAACCTAATCCTAGTAAATAAATCAATATTATCTCAAATTAATTAAGAAAGGAAAATTATTTTTAAAGAAGATTTTTAGTAAATCCTAATTCTAATTTATCAAAAGGAAATAAATTTCTTTAAGAAAAGGTAAGTATTTTTGTATTTTTGTCTTGAAAATAATATATGGTATTTATGAAGTATTTTGGTCTTTTTATATATTAAAATAAATATTTAATAGGTGTGAAGAAAAATAAATATTTAACCTAATTCTATTTTAATTTACAAGTTTAATAAAAAAAAAGATAGTTTATAACTTTAAATAAATAAATAAATATTTTTTATGAGAAAATAAAATAAAATAAAACAAAATATAATATTTATCATTTTTATATTTTTTATGATTAAGAAGATATATTTGATAAAATAAAAATAAAAATAAAATAAGTAAATAAAATATTTGGGCCAGGGGTGCTGAAGGAAAATAAGGGGTAGGAAGTTAGAAAAAAACAACAAGCCAAACAATCAGAGGCCCACGCTGCAAGCTAGCAAAAAAAGATTGAAAAAATATGAAAAATTGCAAAAGGCAGCGCCAAGGCTCGAACCCACGACCTAGGGTATTTTTGCGCGCTGCCTTACCACTGGGGTGACTGTACATCTGTTAGTTTAAATGAACCCAAAAACACATAACACAAAATATTGCCTTGCCCTGTACTTCATCTTCAACCTCTAGCCAGCCGGACCCCCTGTAACTTTTTCATTTCTCAACAAAAATGGAAAGTGATAACATGAACATTATAGCATTTTACCTCACGATTCTAACCATGTGCATAACTAAAACTATAAGTCCAAGATCAGAGAGAATTTTATTGGCCCTAATTCTTAACCTAATTTTTTCAGAAACTTCAAACTTAAAATTCTCTAAACTCAAGCCAAATAAATGCAAGCTATGGATATGTACAGCTTCGTAGAAATGATGTCTACATTCTATATTCACAAATGGAGAGCTAACTATGCCTGTATTAAGAGTTAGAAAAACAGAAAACTCACCTTGAAAATGGAAATCGTGTTTTAAAAACGAGATTGCTTTAGGATGTTGTGATGATCAGGTTAGCTTCCTTGAACCTCTAGGAAGCTAATGCAATGCTTAGCTCGTCTTGAGGGTGGATGGAATGGTCTGGAGAAGTCCACCTGTGTTACTCTATTTTTGAACTTCAACAATGGGGAAGATGGAGTTACAGTGATGTTTTAGGGTGTGGGATGGTTTACTTGTAAGGTAAGGAAGCTTGGGAAAGCAAAAGGCCTGAAAACGCATGAGTGAAATGGAAGATTCAATTCACAAGTCAGAAATGACAAGTTTGGAGGCTTGGTATGCAACTTCTGATTCTAGGGTGTTTCAAGGCTTGTGCATTCGTGGTTTTAGTTACAAAATTATGGCTTTATATAGAGCAAAAGGTTGGAGGACTTGTGCTTGCTCAGAAGTACAAGATCACATGTCTTGCTACATTTCTTATTTTTGAAGCAAGTGTGAGAAGTGAATTCTTAAGGCATGATTCTGATTTTGTAGGGTGGATTAAAGCTTTAAACATGTTTTGTTCAGGTTTAGAGACTTGGTTTGTGCAGAGAGAACAAGTCCAAGGCTCAAGAAAATGGAAAAATGCAAAAAGCATGCTTTTCCAAAATGGCAATGTTGTCTTTCTTCCAAAAATGGCTATTTTCTTGTACAATGCATTGAATGCTTGGCTTTAGGGCATGAAACCTTATGCAAATCATTAATGGTGGAGTGAAAAACGAGTTTGAGACCTGAAAAGTGAAGATTGTACAACCAATTTGCAAATTTGAAAACTTGTTCTTCATGAAAATGACCTATAATCAAGTTTGAAAATCCTAACTTCATCTCTTTGATTCTCCCTACTCAAACATGATCTCAAGGAGTTCTTGGACATTTTGGAAAGCTTGCAATATGATCTACAATTCATATTTGAATTGATTTCAAATATTCCCCTTGTAACTATGTGAAAAATTGGCATGAAGTTAGGTAAAAAACCTGCCTAACTAGGGCAAAATTTCACTAAGTTATTTTAGTTCATGAGCATGTATTCACAAAATTATATCTTGAGATCCAAGCATATTTAGGAGAAATTGTGTGAAGCAAAGTTGTATATTTCATGGAGATCTACAAATTTCATGTTGGGAACTTCCTTTGAATCATTTTGTATCATGGTGAAAATTTGGCCTAAAGTTGAGAAAAAATAAGAAATTTTCTATACTTAGAAAATTTTCTAAGTTAGAAATTTTCAACTTCTCAAATTCAAATCTTAAATCTTTGGTTTCTTGATGAACAAGTTTCACATTTTGATATTTTTTGATGAATTATGATCCTTGACACTTAAATTTGACCAAAAAGTCAAAGTTTGACTTTTTAGTATACAGTTGACTTTTGATCAGTTGACTGAAAAATTCATATGTCAATTCAATGAATTTGTAATGTTTTGAACCATTCCATTAGGTAAATATGATGCAATTTAACTCTTGAGATCATTCTTTAAACCAATTGACCATTTGCTAGGTCAAAAAATCAGAAATTGCCCTTTTTTAGTCAAAACCCTAATTTTGACCATTTTGCCCTTTTGATGATTTGATCAAATTTTTTGAAGAATTATGGTCCAAACTTGATCAAATGATATATATGAGTCTAAAATATTGATGTGGATAAAAAATTGTGAAGTTTGACTGTAAATTGGCCATGGTTGATTTTTCCCCCCAATACAACTGATTTTTAGGTCAACTGTCCAATTGACTGATCAAAAGTGTGATTCAAGGCTTGAAACTTGACATGAGTAATCTTGGGGGTCCCTAATGATCCTTGAAAGCCCTATGAAGCATTGATAGTCCAAAATCTTTGTGCAAACTCAAACCCTAATTTTGGTTATCAGTGCATGAGGAGGTGTCTTGAGCTGATCAAACCCTAGTGCAGTCTTGAGTCAAAGAGATCTTGTGAGAAAATCCTTGATAAGCGAGAGGACAAATTTTGAGGTACAACAATATGAAACTTTTTGATTGACATAACACACTGATGGTGAACTATTGTTTATGAGGTATCACTAAATACACACATTAAGATGTTGCATTTTTGTGTGGTTGAAATTTATCTTTTTGTATACTTTGGTTAAACTCATGATATTATATTTATGTTAATGAAGGAGTTGGTGACATAGAAACTTCTAGCTCATGTTGTAGTCCTGGTGATATAGGGGGATGCTCCTTGGAGCTTGTTAACAATTATCCATTTGATGATGAAATAAAGAGGAGACCGGAGGAGATAACTCTCATTCCTGTATGTTTAGCTTCTTGTTAAGTATTAGTTGTTAACATAACTTAATTTGTGTAGTTAGTGTTGTTAACAGAACTTAATTTGAACATGTGCAAAACAATGCTAAACTTGTTACATAGTTTCAGGTACAAACCAATGTAGAACTTGTTACATGGTTTCTTGTTGATGGATAGAATGATAATGATGATGTATGTGATTTCTTACTTATTAATGGATGGAATGATGATGCTATGATGACAATGTAGTTCATTTTCATGAATCTGTTGAGGATATGCTAACTTATGATGAACTTAATATAATATATTATTTTATTACTTGAATGATGATGGAATTATAATATAATGTTAATAGTTGATCACTTGGATGATGATGGAAATACAATATAATGATAATAGTTTGTGGTTCAATATTTCTTTTAATGATATAAAATATGAATGAAGTTTAATAAATAGTAATGTGATGAATGTACAAGAATGATAAAATTTGGGTTAAAATTTATTGGTCGGAATATTATTTTTAAAAAATAAAATAATTGATCATATATTAATTCAAACCAATTTAACCCAACCGAATAAACCGTTTAAATCGACAATCTATCAACCGATAAAATCAAACTTCATTTTGAATAAAATTGAATTCAAATCTTTCAACTGTAAATTAATTCGGATGAACTGTTTCGGACTCGAATCCATCCATAACCAACCGCCGTCCATCCCTACTTTAAAGAGTTGTATTATATATTAGATAATATTATAATATTGATAATATTTTTTAAATTTATTTTATAATTAAGATTTTAAATAAATATTTTAATGTAGCATATTACTTAAATCTCAAGTTTATGAATATTTCTTTTTATAAATAAATAAATAAAAAAAATATTTTAGTTCATAAATCCTATTTCAATTGACAATAATCAATATTACTAGATTATAAAATAGTAAATAAAAGAGTGAGAAAATGTAAAAGAGAGGCACGTTTGCTGGGGAAATGTGCATAGCTATCTGAGAGTAATCAAGTAGGAGTATGAGTTTTCTAGTCCCCTCAAACAGGAGAGAAAAGGAAAGTTGATTGAGTTTAGTTAGTTTCTATAACTCAAACATGGAAGAAAACAACCAAGAGGCGGTGAAGACGATGGTTTCATCACAACAACCAGATACGCAACTCACCAATGTTGTTGTGAAACAGTACTCTCCTCCGGATGACTTAGAAACCTTCTACGTCAAACTCACTGACTTGTTGGACTCTTCTGGTTTCACTCTCATGTAACTCATTTCTTCACTTTGCTTCTCATTTTCCCTTTTGCCCTTGTTTTTTATCTGCTTTTGCATGTGTGTTTCTCGAGGGTTATTTTCGGTATTTTTTTTATTGTAAATGAAATATGAAACATGAAATGTTTTGATTCAACTTGGCAGTTTGAATGTCCGGGAAACATGCTTAGACTTGTACCAGTTTTACTTGGAAGTCACCAAAAGAGGAGGTTATCACCAGGTACTTGTCTGCTTTCATGTATCTATTCTTATGTTAATTTATCATTAATGCCAGCCATATGTCTATATTATTTGTTAATAGAGGCTTAAGTAATTTAATAGGTTGATTATCTTGAATGTTTTCAGGTTGGTAAAGAAAAGAAATGGGGTGAAATAGTGTCTGATCTAAAACTGGAAGGAAACAATGCAAAGTTATGTCTTAAACTTGAAAAGCTCTATGCAAATCTTCTTTACAAATTTGAGAAATTTTACTTCTACAGGTTACCTGCTTCTCAAACTCCAACTCCCACCACCAAAGGTTTATTAATCTAAGAGACCGATTTCTGCTTTCTTTCATTGTATTATGTTTTGTTGCATTTTGGTACTAAGTTGAATATGTGTGGTTTAACCTTGAATACTATCTTTTCTCAACACCCTCAATTTCTTAAGGTTCAGCTAAAAGGAAGCAGAGCTCAACCACTAGTTTATCTCAATTTGTGGATGATGAAGATTATCAGACAGCGGCAATGATATCCAACGACTACCCTATCAAAATGACAGGTTAAAAGGATCTAGAATGTTTGTGAGAGCAAAGCTTAATTCATTGATTGAATGAAAATGATGACACTCAAGTGTTTGTATTAGGTAACTCAATTTACTAAAGATCCATCCAACACATGTTTGTTACTTATGCAGCAATACCTGAAGTGCAACTACAAACACCATCAAAGGACAAAGAAAAGAAGAAAAAGCGAGGTGTTCCAATAGGACGAAGTGGATATCAAATTTTCCTCATGCAGGAATGTGCACGATTAAAAGCTTCTCGTCACGATATAGATGGCAAAACAGTCATGCGCATGGCTGTCGATGGATGGAATAACTTGTCAGACATTGATAAACAGGTACACTAGATGAAATTGATATAAGATGAACTTGTTTTTGCTAGGAATTTTCCACTTCTAAGTTCTAAATACTTTTTCGTGCAGCCATATTTGGAAGAAAGCAAGAAGATAAAGGAACAAAAGAAGGAAGCAATGATCACTGAAAATAATAAACAGAAGAGCACTCAAGATCTTAAGAAGGATGAAAAGAAGCCTAATCTGTGCTGTGGTGACTACTACTCTGTAACTTTGCAACCTCAAGCAAATAACCCTCTTGTCAACAATGCAGCAGTGGATTTGGCTTCTAAAATGACAGAAAAAACATCCAAGGACCCCTTCTTCCCATTTGATTTGGATGCTTATTGTTCGGTAGATTTGCTAACTGGGACAGCAACCGGAGAACCCAAATAACTGTACTAGTTATTGGGCAAGTCTTTTTTGGTTTTTGAGGCAATGCTATTGCCTATGGCTGTGTAACCAAGTTTGATGAATAGACATCAATGTTTGCACTAGTGAAGTATGTATATAAACCATATATATATATATAACTTAAAAAGACTTGTGCTGTAATGCAAAATTTTGTTGGCATAGTTGCCAATTTTCTTTGTAGAAAACTAATCAAGCTTTCTGTTGAACTAGAAATTTGCTGTCATCTTCTAAATGATTGATTTCCTAACATAAGTAGAGAGATAAAATGAAATTGGCAAGTTCCAAATTTGTTACTCTGGCTTCAAAACCAGAGCAGCTATAAATAGAGCAATCTCCCACATCAAAACACTCAGTTACAAAAAACAGTAATAGTCTGAGTCTCAACAAGGAATGTTACATTTCCTGCCAAGAGGAGCAATCATATAAATTTTTGAAAACTGATATATCACATGAAGATGTGATCAATGGCAACCAGAAATGATCACTGTGTAGTTCACAATGATAGGGACAATATGCATGTATCTGGATAACTAGCTAAAATTCTGAAATACTACTGAAACGCTCTCTTATAGGACTGCTGCTAGTTAGCTGAAACAACCTAAAATAAGTATTGGACCAGCCTAGTTTTTTTTTTTTATCCAAAATATTAAGGAATTTCTTACCTTATTCCATAAGGTTGAAAAACACTGTAATTTCGAAAATGCCCCTGAGAAACTGGAAATTTATTTCTGGTACGCACCATCCACCATACACCATGAGATCAAAAGTGGTTCTACCCTATTCTAAACACAAAATAGAATCGGTGATATATTTTCGGTTGTAATCAGTTTTTTATTTCCGATTATTTAGTGCGAGAAGATTGAAAATTCTGCCACCTTAATATTTTATATATAACCAGAAATGTATTTCCAGAAAAATCAAAAGGCATTTTGCTTAAAACAGTAACCAGTATGGACAAGCATGATCACTCTCATTTCTTACACTTTCCATAAGCCCTCTCAAAAAACCCTTCCACTCTCAATCAAGTTTTTCATTTCAAATCTTCATTCTTGTGGTTCATCATATCAAAAGGAGTTCAAAGAAGTTGGAAGGTTCGATAATTGTTCGGATAGAAGAAATGCATTTGTGACTTTGACATGCGAAAGAAGTTGGAAATATATATGTTGTATCCAGAATTTGAAACAAGATGATACCGGTTCAAGAAAATGTGAATGTCCATTTAAGTTGCGTGGTTATCGGTTGTCAAATAATACATAAAGATTTAATGTGATATGTGGTTTACACAATTATGATTTATGTGATCAGTTAGTCGGTCATCCAATTGCATGTCGACTATTGCCAAAAGAGAAGGAATGTGTTTTCTACATGACATTGAATTTGGTACCTCCCAAAAACATACTTGCAACTTTGAAGCGCAAAAGACTCGGAAATATCTCAAATATCAAGCAAGTGTACAATATGCGCTATCAATCCAAATTAGCGCTTAGGAGGGATCGAACTGAAATGCAACACCTCTTGAAACTTCTAGATGATAACAATTACGTTTCTAGGCACCGGAGATGTGAGGATGAAGTAACATTAAGAGATATATATTAGACTCATCCTGATTCCATTAAAATTTTCAATATATTTCCCATTGTGCTTATAATTGATTCAACGTATAAGACCAATAAATACAGGTTACCATTGTTGGAAATTGTTGGTGTTACGTCGACTGAGAAGACATATTATGTTAGTTTTTCATTTCTAGAGTGCGAAAAAGAGGACAATTTACATGGGCTTTAGATGTTTTAATGTATCCCAAAATTTTCTCTCCCATATTTCTCAACACATGGCAAGAGAGGCCCCCAAATTGCTCAAGGAAGATCAAGAGTTGACCAGACAAACACTCTTCTAAGGCAGTCTACCTCAAATTAGGGTTTCCATCTTCATCAAGATGTGTAAACCACAAAGGACCCAAATGCTCACCATTGTCCTAATATGTCCTCAAGATCATCCATGTCAAGTTTCAAGCCTTGCAGAAGAACTTTGCTCAGTCAATTGCTCAAATGCCTGAAAATCAACTATGTTAGGTCAAAAGTCAACTGTGGCCCACATACAGTCAAACTTCAAGATTTTTGGTCAACATCCTCATTTTGAAGTATTATTCATCATTTGATCAAGGGTTGATCATGATTCTTCAAGGAGTGCTCACAATTCATCAAAATCCAAAAGTTGCTAAATTAGGGTTTTGTAGGAAAAGTCAACTTAACTTTGACCAAGCATAACTTTCTCATATTTTATCAGAAATGGCCCATCCAAAGTTAATTTTGAATAGGATGAAATTCCATACAATTCATCTTCATCTCCCAAGTTCAGAATATGCATTCACAAAAAGATATGAATTTTGACATTATAGGTCCTTTTGAAAAGTCAACAAAAACACCTTTTGGATCAAAGCTTCATACATGAACATGGAAGACTCAATTGAGATGAGACAAAAAGAGTTGCTTATAGGACATCCTAAGATTTCTAAAAAGTCCAAGAACACCTCTCTAGGGTCAAAATTGAGAGAGTTATGCATTGACCAATTTGACCATTTTTGCAAAATTGCCAAAAGTCAAATGTGCTCAAATTTGCATTTTTTGCTAAATGGGCCCAACTTTTTATGCTTTCACTTCAATTCTAATGTGGTCCACGACTCAAATACTTATCCACAAATTATTTTCTTCATTTTTCAATTTATTTTGATTTTTCATTAATTAAAAAGTGAATTAAATCAAATAAATGATAAAAATTATCAAAGATATGATTTGATTTGTTTTTTTTTTACAGGTTAGCAACCAAGATATGCTGAGCTTGCAAGATCAATTCGAATCAATGGCAATTGGTACAAAAATAGCATGATTGACATGAAAATAGAAAGATATCATATGGCTAAAGAATTAAATCAAATATCATCAAAGCTCAAAGATTCAATATATTTTGCAACCCTAATTCATTGAGGGATATATAATGAACAAGAACAAAGCAAAAAAAGGGGGTTAGAGGTCGTGAATTGCCAGGAATAAAATTGAAAAATTCAAGAAAAAGTGGGAATCGGTTTTCAATCTACAAGACGTTTCAAAGCATTTTAAGATCACCAATCCCTTCCTAGACATCCCAGGAAGCTGTTTCAATCATTCCCAAGGCTTGAAGTACTCAGAAACTCGTTCTACAACTCACACGGTTTGGTACATTTTTCAAATTCGATTTTTGAAATTTACGCATCATTAGCACTTTTGATTTATATATTCTTGTTCATCATCATGTTTGCAAGCTATTGGTATCACTCAATTGAATTTTCAGTGCAGGAATCATGATATGCCATTTTTAGGGTTCCTTTGCTCGTTTTAGGGGTTTTCAATATAGACAAAATTAGGCTTTGATTCTGGTACCATGATGCTCGTGAGGATGAGACGAGTTGATTGGTACCCTCACCTTTCATTTATATTGTTTGTATAAGATTTTGGAATGTGACAGGGTTATAGCTACAGCAAGACGTCCGTAGGTAAAAGTGCCTGAGCCTAAAACGACGGATGAGGAAGAAGAAGATAACGTGTCCCAGCATCATTGACTCATTCAAATTAACGCGCGTTTTTTCTTTTTATTTTGACCACTAACTCATATTTTCTTATATTATGCTTTGTCATTATTATAATTACAACTAAGCATCATGGCTCAGTTGGCAAGCAAGCGCTGGAATTTAGTATAAGGGCCTGGGTTCGATCCCCAGGTCCCAACCTTTGTTTGTATTATTTTGCTTCATGTGATCAGGTACACTACAATCTCAAGCGCCCACCATATGCCATCAAATTCAACCATCAGATTCATCAACAAACTAGATCTAATGTGCCAGCATTGAAGGACCATAATATGCACTCAAGTCAACACCTCACCAAACCAAGCGTGGTCAAACAGGCTGGTGTTATTTGGGCCACAAAAATCAGATCTGCACCCCTCATAATTGCTAACAATCAGGCACATCTCTAACTTGTTTTTATTTCTTTTCCTTAATTATTTTAATATTTATTTTAATCATTTTAATTAACAAATTAATCATTTTTTTTATAAAATCATAAAATCAAGAATTCATAACAAATTAGAATTAGTTTTTTTATTATCAAATTTAATTTAATTTAGTGTAACTTAGAGAAATTTTAATTTATTTTCAAAAATAAAATCAAATAGAAATTAGGTTAAATTCTTGATTTAATTCTTTTATTTTTCTCAAATAAATGAAAACACAAAAATAGGCTTTTAGAATGAATTAATTTATTTTTCTTAATTTAAAATTAATTAGAATTATGATTTCCTTTTTTTTTAATTATTTTATTATTTTCTTAAATAACAAAACATGATAAAAACATCTTTTTTAATCAATTGCCAATAGGATTAGTCAAGGGTCAAAACCCTAATCGTTTCGCATTTAATTCGCCTCGCGTTTGTTTATTATTTTGTCAATATTTTTGTAACTGTTCATGGTTTGTAATAGTTAATTTAGGGCTTTATTTACCGTTAAAATTCTCGGGTTTTTTGGCTATGTAATTAATCCCCCTCCCCGAAGCCTTGTAATAGCGTAGATTTATTTTCTCGCATTTTTAATTCCTGCAAATATTTAACTGTTTAGATGTATGCTAATAGGATTGTATGACAAGAATGCATGACAAATTAATACAGTTAGAAAATCCTAATGTGCAAAGATAAATAACTGAAACGAATCACTCGCACATATCACTCTTAGGGTATACTCTCACTTCGGTGGCCTTCGGTAAACGATCATTAAGCATAGGGTGTCTTAGTGGTTGCCCTCCGGTCTAAAAAAGATCAAACATCCCATTCGAATGTTGCCTCAGAAATGTTGCCTCGAATATGATCTTAAGACTCTAGGGTTATTACTAAGATGTCCTAATATTGCTTTAGTGATCGTACGTCCCTTTCGAATTGACCCTTACAAACTCCAA